TTATTATTAGACTTCAAAGTGCACTACTGAATTAATCCACCATTCGTTAGTCTAACAAACAAAGTGGTGAAGAGCATCAACAACTATGATTCAATGCCAAACAAGTTACGGTCGACTACATAAATCCTCATAACAAGGTGGTGAAGATGCATGCCGACTAAATCCTTTAGTTACGACCGAGCACGAAATTTAAGAAATAAAAGAAGACTTTTGACTTGTAAGCTAATACGCAAAGTGCCAAAATTATTCCTTTAAATGAGTGGTGGTGAGAGTTCTACAAGTTTTTAAAATTTCTATCTCCTTATAAAAGAAAAAATTAATATCAAGCAGACCACAAGTGATTTTATAGCAGGTTTGGTTGTGCTTATAAAATCAACTTATTTTGAAAAGTCCTTCTCTCAAAAGTGCTTTTCAAAAAAGTATTTTTGATGAGAAGTAGTTTGTGTTTGGCTAATTAATTTGAAAAGCACTTTTGAGCGGCAATTAGGTTTTGGCCAATCTTTTAAAAAGTGTTGCTAAGTGTATTTTTCTCAAAAGAGATTTTCAATAAAAGTGATTTTGGGGAGAAGCTACTTTTTTCTCCTTCTCAAAAATGGCTTCTGCTTCTACTCAAGAGCGCTTCATTTCCTTCTAAAAACTTGGCCAAACACTTTTAACTTTGGGAAAAAAACACTTTTGACCAAAAAAAAAGCACTGGAAACTAAGATCAAATAGTTTCTAAAAAGCGAATTGTGACGTTTTATGGTGCAGCTAAAAAGAAAAGTATGTCACATAAAATATGACCAATTAAAAGGTGGTTCATATTAAACTTAGCTAAAAGGGGCACATAAAATATGACCAATTAAAAGGTGGTTCATATTAAACTTAGCTAAAAGGGAATAAAGATAACACAAAAGCTAGAAGAAGGTAACCATGAACTTGTTCTACAAAAAATAGAGACTAATAAAATAAGTACTTTACAAATGACAAATTCATAATGTCCCTATCCAGCGTGCATACATTGAACTACGCAAAGTAATCAAAAGCGAAAGCGCAATAAAGCGCCAAACTTTGTTGAAGCTTTAAGCGCAAAGAATAATTAAAGCATGGGCTTTAGCGAGAGGGAAACAAATGAAAATGTAATACAAGAAAATGTGACCATAATTAGAAACAATAATTATTTGGACAAAAGAATGAAAAACTATAATTAAGAATTAATCGATGAAGATGCATCTTGTTTAGCACCTTGATGCCTACACTAATAGCTTGTTTGGCCAAGCTTCTAAAATCTGTTTATTCTGAGAAGTGTTTTTCAAAAAAGTACTTTTGGTGAGAATCGATTTGTGTTTGGCTAATTAATTTGAAAAGCACTTTTAAATAGTAATCAATGTTTGGCCAAGCTTTTGAAACTGTTTCTAAGTGGATTTTTTTCAAAAGTGCTTTTGGAGAGAAGCTACATTTTTCTGCTTCTCAAAAACTACTTCTGTTTCTCATCAAAAACACTTTTTTTCCTACTAAAAGCTAGGCCAAACACCTTAATTTTTGGCCAAAAGCACTTTCGGCCCCAAAAAAGGCTTGGCCAAACAGGCTATATTGTCAATTAAGCGAAGCGAAGCGCACAAACTAGGTTTCACCAAGCTTTAGGGTTTAAGCGCGCTTTAAGCGAGCCTTTAACCTAGAGCTAACACAAATTTGCAAGCATCAAGCTCACAATAGAACCAAATTTTGCATTTCGTACCTTACACCGAAACCATGCACTACGAAATCCACTCTGGAAAGACCTCGCTTCCGCGGATTGCCCAACCTTGAAAGGCAATTGATACTCCTTCGCCATGATATCTGCACCAATAAAGAACCTAATCATACACTATCCCGCACAAATGTGCTTTTTCCATGTAGGAGGCACATGTTCATAAGATGACAGCATGAAACAATTTAATTAGTTTATTTTAATTATCAACCAAGAAATTATACCGCATAATGAGTTGATTTTTGAAAATCGATGCACGGCAAAAGTGTGCATCATTATATTAATTAGAACTTTTTATAATAATGGTGTTCGAACCAACTTGCATGCACCTCAACTAATTCCATGGGGTACTTTCTACCTGACTACCTCCCACCAACACAGGTACTAAATAACTCTATCTACTAAAGCTTGGACATATGGGGAAAAATCACTAGTATTTTTGGCACTCTGGGATTTGGACCCACTTCACTGAACCACTAGGTCATACCTTTGTGTGCTTATTATTTAGAAATTAAACCTTAATACTTATCGAAGTCTGTGACGCAATACATGTGAATGCACTTTGAGAAAAGTGCCTAACTAGTATGGATAACTACAAAATATTCACAGGAAAAAGCTAGTTAATGAGACTGGGTCAGTAAGAATCTAGAACTCCTTATACCAGACCGGAAACTGAAGGATTAGGGCTGACAACAAACACTCATATGCATGTTTAAAGGCTTAATCTGTTCTGGTTCCTACGCGTTAGGAATTGAGAGCAAGTGTATAACAACAACAACAAACCCAGTGTAATCCCACAAGTAGGGTCTGGGGAGGGTAGTGTATCTGCAGACCTTACACTACCTTCAAGAAGGCAGAGAGGTTGTTTCTGGTAGACCCTCAGCTTAGGAAAGGTAAAAGGAAAGGCAACAACCAGCACACCAATCAAAAAAACCGAAGCGAAAATAAAAATCTAACACTAGGTACTGCAATCAGAAAGCCGAAACGAATGTAACAACAACTAATAACAGAAGTCAAAGAATACAGAAATACACAAATGACACCAAGTCATGTACTAAAGCTATTGTTATAGACAAGGACAATGCTCGGCTCACTAGCCCTTTACCTTTATTCTCAACTTTCATATCTTCCTACTTATGGTCATGTCCTCAGTAAGCTGGAGCACCGTCATATTTTATCTAATCACATCTCTCCAATACTTCTTCGGCCTATCTCTACCTCTCATTAGTCCCTCCAGAGCCAGTCTCTCACACCTCCTCACCGATGCATCTGCGCCTCTCCTCTTCACATGCCCAAACCATCTAAGTCTCGCCTCCTACATCTTGTCCACCACAGGGGCAACGCCCACCTTATCCCGAATAACTTCATTTCTAGTTCTATCTAACGTGGTATGCCCGCAAATACATCTCAAAATCCTCATTTCAGCCACATTCATCTTTTAGACATAGGAGTTCTTGACTGCTAACACTTCGTCCTGTACAACATAGTCGGTCTGACCACCGCTCAATAGAACTTACCTTCGAGTTTTGGTGGCACATTCTTATCACACAAAACACCAAAAGCGAGCCTCCATTTCATCCACTCCGCCCCAATATGATGTGTAACATCCTCGTTAATCTCTCCAATCATTTATATAACTGACCCAAGGTACTTAAAACTCTCTGCTAGGGATAACTTGAGAATCAAGCCTCACGTCTTCGTCAACTACCTGAGTCGTACCACTGAACTTGTCCTACTCAACTTGAAACCTTTAGACTCCAGGGTCTGCCTCCAAACTTCTAGCCTCTCGCTAGCATCGCCTCGCGCCTCATCAATCAATACAATGTCATCTGCAAATAACATGCACCACAGCACCTCCCCTTGAATATGGCGCGTCAATGCGTCGATCGCTAGGGCGAATAGAAATGGGCTAAGGGTTGACCCCTTGTGCAACCCCATCTCAACTGTAAGTGTTCCCAGTCTACTCCCACTGTCCTCACTCATACATGTCCTTAATAGCCCTAATGCATGCAACAGGAACACCTCTAGCCTCCAAACATCTCCTCAGAACCTCCATTGGCACTTTATCATAAGCTTTCTCTAAGTCGATGAACTCTATATGCAAATCCCTCTTCTCCTCCTTATACTGCTCCATCAACCCCCTAACAAGATGATAACTTCCATATTCGAATGTGCCGGCATATATCCAAACTGGTTTTCAGAATTAGTCACAATCCTCCTCAACCTCAGCTCCACCACCCTCTCCCAATGGCTTAATAACTTGACACCCTGATAGTTGTTGTAACTTTGGATATCACTCTTGTTCTTATATAACGGGATCATCGTACTCCATCTCCACTCTTCGGACATCTTCATCCTAAAAATGACATTAAACAACCCAGTGAGTCACTCCAAGCCTGCCCACCCACACTCTTCAAAAATTCCACCGGTCGCTCTCCCCTACTAATCTTACGCATAGCCCACTCAACCTCGTCGACTCTTATACGCCTACAATACCCAAGTCCCGATGACTCTCGGAGTGTTCTAAGTCACCTAGATCAATATTTCTATCCCCTTTTTAGTTCAAGAGTTTTTGAAAGTAAGTCTGATATCTTCGTCCAATAAATGCATCAACAAAACTCTACCATCCTCGTCCTTGATGCACTTCATTTGGTCCAGGTCACGGGCCTTCCTTTCTCGCACCTTGGCTAGCCAGTACAACTTCTTATCCCCTCCTTTGCCTCCAAGTTCTTCATATAAGCGTTCAAATGCAGCAGTCTTAACCGTTGTAACAGCTAACTTCGCTTCCTTCATAGCAATCTTATACCGATCCCTATTCGACCATTTCTCCTCCTCGTCCATGCTCTTTAGAAGCTTGGCTTTCACTTTGCCTTGGACCTAAGTACTCCACCACCAATCCCCTTTGCGGCCACCAGATGACCCTTTTGAGAACCCTCAATACCTCTCTGAATGAAATACAAAGACTTTGGTCCCATGAAGAATGAGAATTTACATACAAATCATTCTTAGGGACTTTGAGACGTAGAGATTAGATGTTGAAGTTGATACCAAGAAACACTTAGAAATAAAAAAGGAATGAGAAATAACTAATTGGTGAATTTTCTCAAGCAAATCTAAGCATCACTAAAGCAAATGAATTCCCAAAAATATAATTTGTTCTTTTGTAAACATAAAGTAGCACTCAATAAATGAGAAATCTATAACGTCATCCCCCTAAATACCCTTGTTTTTTGTTAATAAAATGAACTTTGATTAAATCGGCCTTAGAGTAAGCAAAGAAAGTATCCAAATTGTGTATACCTGAACACCAACAATGATTAAAAAAGAAGAAAATGACGAAGAAATATCAAATTGTGTACCAAAAAGATAAATGGTTGAGTATAAGAGTACAACCTCGAGGTTCAAAGTTGAAATCCCTTCCAAACTACAATATTCCCTCTGCTTCAACTTTTGCGGATAGATTTATCCTTCAATGTGTTTATAGGCTATAACAAATTGTCATGTATACAGTATAAGCCATGGGCACGAAATTTAAGAAAGTATGAAGACTTCTAAATCCTGTGGTCTTAAACTAATATAATGTACCAAAATATCCTAAAATCTTGTGATCTTAAATATACCATGTGCAAGTTGCAGTTAAGGAATTACCAAGTATAAAAAGAAATATTCCTTTTAAACATGCTAAAAGAAAAGTAAAACACATAAATTAAAAAGAGTTTGATATTCTTTATTTTAAAATAAAATCTAATTATAATAAATTAAACAAGCATTTTTCCTAAATAAATCTTAATGTGACAAATATATGTGTATCTAAGAAATTTAAAAAAAAGAGAAGAAGAAAATTAAAAATTCATATGATAATTACACAATCTAATTACCATGGGTAATTATTTACTCCCCTTGAGAATTAAATAGTATAATTGTTTTCATCCAATTAGACTCTATTACATGTTGGTTAAGTAATTACTTGGTCAGACAAACAAATTAAATTGTATAACTATATTCACTTATATCCAAATCCAATTACAAGGTAGCCTTCCAAAAATGCATTAAATTGTTAAATGATATATATGGCCAATCACATGTGATTGGTGACCAAGTATCAACCAAAGATTAAGAAAAATTAAGAGAAAAAAAAAAAAAAAAAAAAAAAAAAAAAAAAAAGGAAAAAGGTATGTCTACCTAGCTAGAGAAAGCCCGTGTGAAATTATAAGTTATTAAAAAATTAAAGTAAAAGAAGGAAAACCGTACCCTTGAAGATTGACACTTGATGAAGCATCAAGAGAAGACAAGAAAATAAATAAATAAATACAAGAAGCATGCACTTTCTTTCACTATAGNTGACTTCAATATATGAGGAATGAAGTATCTTCTAGAAATTGGGATCTATATAGAGGATTCTAAAGAAAATTGTGGCTAGAAGAAGAAGGAGGCGATAAGAACAAACCTAATACAATGTGTTATTCCCAATTCTACCCTTATATAGAGATGGTGAACCCGAAACCGACACGATACCGCTGCCACGTGCAATGAAACGCGTCATTATTTATCAACTCAGTGAAACGACGACGTTTGAGGAAAGGTCTGAAATTTCCAACAGAAATTCAGTGAGATCTTCATTGCAGAATTAAAGGTAGGAGCTGTGAACTGAAAAAGGATAAAGGTTACTATAAGTCTACAATGGCAGCTCTTTGAGAGCAAACTGTGAATACCAAAAGCATTTCGCAAAATCGAAATAAGTTAGAAATTGCAGGCAGCAAAAGGTATCTTGGACTTGGTACGTGCAAATCTTCGATTGTCACGTTATCTCTACAGGGCAGAAGCGGATTCAGGAATTAAACTTTATGGGTTTAACTTTTAAAAATTTTAATATTGATCTCATTATATTTTTAAAGTTATGAGTTCAAATCTGTTAATTTTTGCAATTTTAATGAATTTTTACACATAAATTTCTATTTTGCGTCGAAAGTTATGGGTTCAATTGAACTCGTAGCTACTACATTGCATCTGCCTCTATAAGGGGGAAATTCTTGGTGGCACTTCCGTAAATTATTATTTTTTTGGTCCATAATAATTGATTTTTTCAGATCTTAATAAGGAATTAATTTCTTTTTTCTAAAGTTATTTTTTTGAGTAAGGAGCCTAGGAATATTTGTTGTATTTTCAATGAACAAATTAAGGTTATATTGTCAATTTCATTGTTAATTGATCCTAAAAGCTGAATTACTTAATATACTATATTAAAAGCACGAAAACCCTTAGCGAAATATCGTTCGCCTTTTTTAAATTACTAAAATTTTACTTATTAATTCTTTCCTTATTTAACTATGTTAGAAGTTTTGAATTAAATATTTTCCTTATATAAACTCCTTTAAATATTCCTATTCATTCACTTACTATTCTCTTTAACTGTGGACAAAAATATACACGAACTCCTTCAATTTTTGGAATGGTAATTTTGGTAAGTAAAATTATTTTAAACCCCTTGTAATATGACTTAACTAGTAATACACATATCGTATGTTAAAATCAAATATTTATACAAATATATTAAATAAATATAAAAGTGTTATTTTTATTTTTCAAAATCAAACATATTTAAACCCTAGGAATTATTTCACAACTAGCTTATTCTAAAATGCAAGAAAGAAGCACGAAAGTCCTTAGCGAATTTTTATCCTTTTTAAAATAAAGTTCACACTAGACAAAATAGTTATTTGATTATTCTCCTAGCTAATATTTTGATGTTTGAATGAAATCAAATTTATTATTTTTAAATTTTTCCTTATTTAAATTAAGCAAGAATTCTTTACATTTAGGACTTTAGAAAATTTTAACTAGAATACATATAAGAAAATACTAATTAAAATACTTTGTTTCCAAGGCAATACATTAATTTAAGGTAATGCTTATTTCCGTCAAACTAGATGAAAAGGAATTTTTTTATTTTGTTAAAAAAAATTATTACAGAATTTGACTTTAAGAAAAATACTCTTTTCGTTCCAATTTATGTGAACATATTTGACTGGGCACGAAGTTTAAGAAAAAATGAAGATTTTTGGAATTTGTGGTTCTAAACAAGTCAAGAAGGGGCCCAGAGTATTTGTTTGGTTATAAAAGCTTCTCGTTAAGGGTAGAATTATAAGTTTAAGTTAAATTGTTACCAAATTTAGAAAGGGGTCATTCTTTTTGGAACACACCAAAAAAGAAATAGGTGTCACGACCCAAAATCCCAACCCGGTCGTGATGGCGCCTCTCGTGAGGACAAGGCCAGTCAATCAACAAAACAGTACATCTCTTTATAATTACTTAGCAAGAATAAGTCTAAATCATGGGCAATATAATCTTAAATGCGAAATAAACGTGATAGAACAAGGAAAACCATCCCAACTCAGCCCGAAATCGGGGTGTCACAAGTCATGAGCTACTACAGAGTTTACTAATATTTTACAAAGTCTGGAATTATCATAAATAACAAAGATAAGGGAGAAAACGGGGCTGCGGACGTCAACANACTCAGCCCGAAATCGGGGTGTCACAAGTCATGAGCTACTACAGAGTTTACTAATATTTTACAAAGTTTGGAATTATCATAAATAACAAAGATAAAGGAGAAAACGGGGCTGTGAACGTCATGCAGCTACCTCGATAACTCCGATGAAAACTAAACAGTAGAAAACTCGCTCTATGCCTCAGGAATACCTGTACCTGCACACATGGTGCAGGGAGTAATGTGAGTACTCCNTGGTGCACGGAGTAATGTGAGTACTCCAACTCAGTGAGTAATAAAAATAAATAACTACTGAAAGCATAAAATCTCATAAAGGCACAATATAATGCTATCTCAAGCAGTAAAATCAATTATACAATAAAACCGTGGAATATCAGATAATTCTCTTTTAAAACAGTAAAGAAAAATAAATTTCAACAAGTAAGGAATAATCAGAAACTTGCCCCTCGGGCTCAATATCAAATTCTCAA